TTTTTTTTACATTACACCTAATCTAGTTAATTAAAAGTTATAATTTGTAAACACATAGACACTAGGTGGTCATTGCTCTGTAATGTCTTTCAGACAATTATATTATAAATTGAGATTTATATTACTCTAGCTATGATTTTCTTCACAATAACCATCCAAATTAGCTAAAATTTTTACCAGAGATAGAAGTGATATTGGGCTACAACATATTAAAAATTCAGCCAATTTGGATTAGTAGTGCTTAAGAAATTGTTTAAAAACTATTAGTAATTTTTTTAATATAATTATTTATCATTTTTAAACAATTCTCAAGAACTACTAATCCAAATTGTGAAATTTTAATATGTTGTATCCAAGTATTACTTCTATTTCTAATAAAAATTTTATTTAATTTGAATTAGTAATAGTAAAGAAACTTATAGCTGGAGGTAATATAAATCTCAATTTATAATATAATATATATTATATATATATTATATTATAAATTGAGATTTATATTATCTCTAGCTGTGAGTCTACTAATTCAAATTAGCTAAAATTTTTACCAAAGATAAAAGTGATATTTAGCTACAACATATTAAGATTTTAGCCAATTTGGATAGTAGTTCTTAAAAATTGCTTAACAATAATAAATAATTATATTAAAAAACTACTTATAGTTTTTAAGCAATTTCTTATAAACTACTAATTCAAATTGGCTGAAATATTAATATGTTGTAACCCAATATCACTTCTATTTTTGGTAAAAATTTCATCCAATTTTGATTAGTAGTTGTGGAGAAAATCATAGCCAGAGATAATATAAATATCAATTTATAATATAATATATATATAGTATATATTGTATTATAAATTAAGATTTTTAAGGGTGTGGCGATATAGCAAAGTGGTGGAGTTATCACATTCCCAAGTTTGTTAACTATAAGTACTGAGTTTAAATCCTACTAGCGACATTTCAGATAATTTACATGTGCCATGGTGACAGCTTATTCTAAATTGGGCTGGGGTTCTGTCATGCTGTAGCTTGTGCTATAGTACTTTGTAAACTGGAGCATATCAATGCCATTTGGTGCTAGGAGATATAAATGCATTTGTGTTATTACACAAAGGAATGCAAACCAGTATAGGCAGTGCAAACCTATAATTAGTTATCCAAGATAGATATAAGACCTACCACAGTAGTCTAAGAAAACCAAAACCAGCTTGACAAATCCTGATTAAGAAAGTAGTAGATTGATCTAATCAAGTGTGCCCTAATACTACAAGACAGATCTGACTGGATTCCAAAAATTGAAGAAGTTGTGCAACAAAAGATTCTTTGGGCAAAAGGAATCTACCAATCTAGCCATCAGAGACACCTAATGGTAATTTTTAGAGGAAAAGATTATGTGCTATAAAATCGTAAACCAGTGATCAATTTTTAGACCTGAGCCTAAAAAACTCAGGTTTGAGCAGACCAATTCTTCTAGGCCAACTGGATTGAGAAAATGACGATACCAAAGGAGTAAGGTGTGAAAAGTGATGGAATGTAGTACAGAGGTTTGTAAATCTTAAAAAAGTAGAAGTAGGTAATAGTAGGAGTTCAATGGTCACACCCTGACCCAAGTATATGAATTAAGACATGGCAATAAGTTACTGAAATCTAGGTAAATACATATATGAGAATGTATTATTCTGGCAAGTTTATCTCGAGGATAAATCAGAATATATAGTTTTGTTCTAAGTTTGATTATTAATCTAGTGGTGTCATAAATCCATGATACTCTGGTATATATAGTGAGATTACACCCAGGTCTTAAGTCCCACATGATGGAAATAAGGATATAATTAGAGAATACTTCTCTAGTTGGAGTGCAAATATGGCAGATAGTGTAGAACTTTTGGGCAGACTATTTAAATTAGATACTTAAAAGGTACATGTGTGGCTATATGCACTCTCATTGTATATCAAAATAAAACTTAATGATAATAAATCGCTGTTGACAAAGAGGTCACTTTAACACTAAAAAAAAATATATATATATATATAAACTAAATATAAAAATATTTGTACTTTAGTGAGTTTTTGGTCAAATTTAATAATTTTACTATTATTAGAATTAGAAAAACTAGTTCTACAAACTTTAATTAAAAATTTAAGGTTATCTTAATAAAATATTTTAATAATTACAATTTTGTTTAAAATTTTAAAAATTAATTAAATTTTTTAATTAAAATTTTTAGTTTAAAAATTTAATATTATTATAAATTATTATAAAATATTGGCAATATATTGTAAAAAAAATTAATTTTTATTGAATATTTTATATTAAAAATAGTTTTATTAAAATTTTATATTAAAATTTTTAAATTTTATTATAAGTAAAAATTTATATTAGAGTTTAATAATTTTTTAATAATTTTTTATTTTTAAATTCATTTTTGAGTTAATAAATATAATTTTATCAAAAAAATATATCTCTAAACTTACAAGTAGATCAAATAGATATATATTTATCTATTATAAAAATTTAATATAAGGTTAATAATAAAATTTTTTCTAAATTTTAATTTATTAACTGTACTAAATTAAATATTTTGTACTAAATTTAGTATGGCTAACAGATACTCATTAATAAAATCAAACTAAATACAGTATAATCTTTAAAAATTAAAAAAAAAACAATAAAGTTAACTAAATAATTATTTAGTAACAAATAATATAAGTTGATTTTTTAAAATATTATTTATATAGGTTTGATATTATAAAAAATAAATAAATTAATGAATATATATAACAAAAATCCATAGTATATATATTTATATTTAATGTTTAGTATTAAAAATTAATTTTTTTTTAAACTTTTGATATTAGTAATTTAAAAATATCAAGTAAAAGAAGTATTATTTACTGTATTGTCTAATTTTTTTTTAGCAAAAAAGTAGTATTAAAAAATATTATACTAATAGATTATATATATATATATATATATTATTTGAAAAAAAGAAAAAGTTTATAATTTACAAAAAATTAGCTAATAAATAACACTTCTCTAATGTTATTTACTAAAATTAATTTTATTTTATTAAAATTTAAAAAACTATATAACGCACTTGTAGTGTTTAACACCACAATAAGCTGCAGTGTAAGCCAAAATAATTTTTATCAAACAAAAGATTAAGATTATGGTTAGGGTTAAAGGCGGGAGCTTAAAAAGTGGTTTCATAGATAAAATTTTTAGTATACTCTTTTTTTAAAAAAAACTACGTTACACCTAATCTTTATGTTACACTGCAGCTTATAATGAACATTTAACAATACCGAAAATTTCATATTGTTTATTAAGAAATTACAATAACAGCTAGTAAAACTGTTTCCTAATTTGTATAATTTGAAATATCAAAAGTAAAAAGAATATTATATAGTAAGTTATATTTGTTCAAAATTTGTAAAAACAGTTAAAAAAAACCCAAAAATTTTATTATTTGATCAGTATTGTTAATAGAACGTATAGACGCAAATATACTAATACTGTATGTATAATATTTTATCATCACTATGTTTGGATGATAAAACTAGTAATAGACGGCACGCGTTTCATAGGGCTGGAGCCTTATGTACAGTATTAGGCTTTGAATTTGTTTTTCGTTGAAAAAAAAAGATCAAAGTTGATTCTGTAAATTATATTATTATCAAATTATATATAATATGAATCGTTAATACAGTATATACTGTATGTATAACTTACATATTTGTACGTTATTCAAACAAACATAAGCTTAATTTAATAATTCATAAAATTATAAAGATTGCAACATTTAAGCTAACCTTTATCATCGGATCTACCGCGAAATCCCGAAAGCACATTTTTCCGAAAGAATATAATATCGATTAAATAGGTCAGCATTATAACTAATGCCACCAATTGTCTTTCAGGGTTTTATGGTGGAACCATATACAGTATATATATAGTATTAATTTATTTAATTTAACAAATTATTATAGTTTTGTAAACTTAATTTTAAGTTTATAACAAATACATTATATAATTATACTATATATATAATTTGATTTAAATTTTGATACTTATTTTACTATGTTTAGAAGCCATTTAATACAGTATGTAATGTTAAAAGTACAAAAATATATAATCTTTACGTATGTAGTATATTATGCGGGTTTATAATTTTTACTTATTGATAATTGCTTTGTGAATATTGTAGATTTTGCTTAATTTTAAAAAATTCTGTTAGTAATATGGTTATACAAAAAATAAATAAATATGCACAATCGTACACAAATTGGATCAATGAATATGTTGTTTTTATTTTGATTTTCTTCTTTTGTTCTATTTAACATATGCATAACTTCGTACTAAATTTTTACAATAGAAAAGTCAGAATTTATATCAATGGAAAAATTCAGCCGGTTGCCATATATCGGAGGTAGTCTCCTTTTCTCTGAAAGCTGACATAATCAAGTTCTATCCACAATAATGTGAAGGAAACATCGAAGGTGTGTTAAAAAAGGAGTCGCACAATATGTGCACGGAGTGAATCAAATTAACTAATTTTGAATAATAAAATATTGATATGTTAGTTTATTGTGCAATAATGCAAGAAAGTATTACAGATTTACATGATATAAAAGAGATGCACTAGTTTTATTAATTGATTTATAAATTAGAAATCATGTGAACTATATAAAATACTACTCGGCTTTAAAAGCATCCCTGTAAAGGGAGTTTTCCCATTATTAATAAATAACTTTTAACTGTTCATGGTAATATAAAGCCTATAATAAAGAATTTTACATGCTGGATTTTAAAAATTGGCTGAAATATGCCGTTTCTTCCTTCGTCATAATCATGTGATTATTCTAATAGTTTTAAAAATGATATATAATTTCTTCTACTTGTACCTAATTTTTTTTTTCTGGGACCTTCCTTATAATAAAAAAAATAATTATAATTATAATGCACGAATAATACCATTCATACAGTGATTTTTAAAAATTAACCATGTCGCACTCTTCACAAAAGAATGTTGTCTCCATCGATACATCTTATTTTGAAGAAATCAAGGCCAAAGAGGGGTAAATAAGAAAAAATAGCCCAATAATTAAAAATCACAATATTTTCATTAAATATCAACATTTTTATGAGATAATTTGAACTTATTTTATATTTCGATGACCTTTAGGAAGGCAAGGTATATAGTTCTAGTTTTTCTTACACTTTTGACGGCTGTCTACGGAGGTGAGCCTTTAAAACAAGAAAGAATTGCCTTGATATACTGTATATCTATTATTTGTATTGTTTACCATGAATTTAATTTTTTTTTTGTGGTACAGGATGGAATGTTTACAGGATGATCGAAGCCGTAAACTCACCTGTTGTTTCCCTAAGGTCTGTTATAAGGACCAGTATACCGGTAAGTCGATCCGAAGACAATTTTCTTCACAGTAAACTTTTCTGATCGAGCAAAAAATTTATTGATTTTAAAAAAGGTGCCAGGGATCGTAATATGTGGAACTACTCTTGATAGACCAGTTTTGTGTTATAAAAGTGCTTTTAACGCCGCAGATGATAATTATCAATTGGTATGATTTTATTCTAAACGGTTAACGTTAAGAAGAAACATTCTTTTTTTAAAAAAAAACTTTTATTGTTATTATTAAAAAGGGAGCAAGTTGCAATGAATATTTAACGAATAATAGAATGGATGCTACAACATTTGTCAATATGCGTGGATTTGATAATTTGACTCAACAATATTGTTGTACGTGAACTAGATTATTACATTCACTGAAATTATTATGGTCAGCAAGTCAATTATTTACGATTTTTTATTATCGTTATTACTATTTTTTAGATATTTTTAATCCTAATAACGGGTCATCTGACTTAAATCCTCTTGCATTTGATAATTCTACTCAAAAGATAGCGCTCGCGTTATGGTCGAGCGAGGCTGCAAATAACACGGTAAAAATATATTCCCATTCGTAAATTTACATCATATGTCATTTTTTAATTTCTTACTAATCTTACTACCAAATTTAGTTAGGTGCCATAACGCAGGATAGATGGTTTTTTTTTGGTACTTTCAACGAATTTGAAGATCCGACATCTGTTAAATTCCAAATTGTTAAAATGGTAACTATATTTATTAATTATGTTATCTGTTATCGTTATGCATATTAAACCGAGTTTAGAAAATTCATATTTTTATATAAACCTTTACAGCCTGCAATTTCTTACATATATTTTAATAGAATTGAAAAATACGATGTTTCAAAAGCAGATGCCATAACCGGTGGTGGTACAAACTCGGGTACACAACCTCACTCCGGGGCAACTATTGTGTACGATACTGCGTTCACAAGCTTTGCTATTGAAGGATTTAAAATAGATTCTCATCTTTGGGTACTTTTTAGGATTATTCCATCCAATTATGTAACTAATACAAAAACAAATTCACAAGAATATCCTGTAGAAATTTGGTTTAGTCGAGTGGAATTTTCTCTATTCCAACTAATTGCTAATATGGGTGGTCTTGTAAGCATCTTTAGTGTAGTATATTTTTTTTTGTTAGGATCATGGAAAGTTAATCCTTGGGGCGTTGTACAACGTTATGTAAGAACTTCATTGAATAGTTATAGAGTTCCAATTCGGATAAATCCATTATCCGTTTATCCGGATAATTCAGATCGCTCAGATATTCGGCTAATCCGACAGGTATCGATCGGTATTCGGATAATTATCCAGATATCAATAGCGATAATAATATGGATAATCGAAAAATTCAGATCCGGATAAATGCTTAATGGATTGGAACTCTAAATAGTTAATATTTTAATGTCTCATAATATCTCATAATATCTCATAATATCTCATAATTAATTATTTTTTAATAGATTCTTAAATCGGCTCCACCACCTCCAGAATATTATACTTTTATGTCCAAACCTTATATAGAAAATTCTAATATTCGCCCTCAACATGATAATGAGACAAATTTCTCGAATAATTCATTTCGACATGGTTCAGGAACAGGCCTTTCACTGTCTGATGTACAAACGCATAAAGAAACAGGGGTTTCAATACCTTCACAACCTGATATTCCACAATCACCAGAACAACGAGTACATAGAGAATATATGGAACGTTATATCGAACCATCATCATCATCTTCAGATATGGACGATCCAAGAATACAGAAATTAAGGAATGATTTGAGAGCAGAAGTACAAAGAACAATTGCTAATGAACTAGCGAAACTAAAATTATTTTTAAGTAAATATTATCTTAAAGATGTAATAAAGATAAATTAATACTGTAATAACTAAATTACTTATATACACGTGATTAAATATTAGCAACAATTAATTCATTATATTTACTGTATAAATAAATTATAATAAGCACTACTATTATTGCTTTAATAATGAAAATTTACTTTTTTTTTTTTTTCTTTTAAAAATTATTATTATTAAATGTTTCTTACATAAATTATTTTTTTACACTGTAATAACTTCACCAATGCATCCTGAACACCTTCCAATCTCAAAATCACCACTGAATTGAGAAAATGAAAGTCGACGATTTGCACTATTTGGTGATGGTAGTCCAGTACGATTGGTTAAATCATTCCGTTGATTTTGATCAGAATTGTAAGCAGCATTAAATCGTCGACCAATTTCACGTGTAGTACCATTACCCATTAATGTAGCACCGTTATTATGTCCTACATTCTCTTTCAATGAAGTAAGAGTGCTCTGAATTTTAGCAACTTCTTGTTCCAGTCTTGTAGCTCTTAATTTCTCTTTTTCTATTTCTTCAGTCAAATTTAATTTATCATTATTTATCTCTACGATTTTTGCTTGTAACTCAGTTAATTGAGATATCAAGTTACGATTATCGGATGATAATCCGTCATTTTTTGTTGTAATATCTTTAATCCGTTTGGTCAATTTTGAATTTTCTAACTGAGAATTTTGTAATTCCGAGGAAAAATTGTCATGCTCTCTATGCAATTCATCCACTACAGCTATTTTTAATTTTAATTGCTCATTAACTTCAGCAAATTCAATTTTCAGAGCCTCAAGTTCGCTTGATTTCTCCTCGATTTGTTGACTAACTCGATTCTTATCATCAGTTAATGATTCAATTTGATTGGACATGGATTCGAATTTTGCCGTAGTTTCACGTGATTCGCGTTCAGCAATCAAGAGTTTGCTTTCTTTTTCAGAGAGCTGTTGTTCTGCATTGGTTAACAGATGTCTTAGATTTGATAATTCTATTTCAAGTGCTTCACATCTATCTTCTTTGTCTTGAAGAGTTTTTTGTAGTGCTTCTACTTCATCAGATGCAGAACGAATGTTGGCTTTTTCTGTAGTGAGCTGTTCGATTATCGAATCTTTGTTATTCAGTTGAGACATAAGTTGCTTGTTATCTTTTTCTAGTTGTTCAACACGCGTATTCTGAATTATACATTTTTGAAATTAAAAGAATGTTTAAAGAGAATTAAGTTTAACTTATTAATAAGGCTAAAAAGAATACAACACCTGTGATTGCAATGATTCTATTATTTTTTTTTTCTGTTCATCAGAATCTTTCAATCGATCTTCACCATTTCGGATTTTTTCTTCCAATTCACTATTCTGGCGTCTTAAAGCGTCAACTAATAATTGACCCTCTTCCAACAATTCCTCGCTGCTTTTAAAACGATCAGCCATTGCTGAATACTTTTCTAATTCTGATGCCAATGCAGTCTTTTCTTCTACAAGCAAAGCGATGGTTTGTTGTTGCATACGACATATATTAGCAAGCGCTTCGAAAGAAAAAGGTTCATCACCCGATATACCAGGAGATATTGTTGTGTTCTCAACAGGAACAGAATCAATTGAATTTGATAATAGGTTCGTTTGAGGTTGTTGACCATGAGGTAATGTGACTGGTTGTAGACCTTCAACTAGAGAACCATGAGATGTCAAACTGGAAACAGAAAATGATTTAGAATTTAAGTTAAATTTCGCTAAAACAATTATTAATAAACAAAAATAAACACACTTTAAAACTTGGTTTGCTGGTGCTTCGCTGTTACTTGATACAACTTCGGTATGTGCATTATTTTCATCGATTGTGCTTATCCTGTACACAATTGTGAACGACATTAGTAAATCGAATAATATATGTTAAACGAATTTAATTGATTTTCGTTATTTTTGCATCAGTGTAATAATGTTTTATCATCGTTCTTATGGTAAGGTTCAAACTTAGATGTTCTGTAATTTTTTTTTTGATCATCATTCTACAAATACGAGAACCTTATATGAATAAGAAATTACAATACATACTCTTGACCAGTTCCATCTGTTCTAACACTTCCAGAATCCGAAGTTACACTGGACCTTCTGGTACTTGTTGCGGCCGTAGACTCCAAACTAGTTCTACGTGTTGAAGTTGAAGAGCCATCCGTAGAAGCATTTGTGGCTTTTTTCTTTTGATATTTCCTAAGCTAAACACAAGGTTAAAAATTGAAACAAAATTTCAATAAAAAAGAAGTTAAAAGTACCTTTTTCTTGGCTGCCAATAGTTTTTCTTCCCGCGCAGGTTCACTTTCCATATTGTCAAGTTTTCAGGATTTCTTTTTTATTCGAATGGATAAAAAGGTTGCAGCTCTGTCAAAATCGATTAATCACATGAAAATATCCAAGATTGGCGAACTGAAAAAAATGTGGTAATAGAATTTAAAATTTTCGTGTAACGTTCTGCAGCAAATAAGTTCATAACAAATAAATGCTTGACCTTTAAAAGAAATTTTATTCATTGAGCTCATTGAGCTTTTTAAACCAACGAAAATCTGACAGCCAATTGCCCGGGCTCGAACCCGGCCCATTGCGAATCTTACCATAAAACAAAGTGCAAGGCACCAGAGTATTTTTACATGATTTATGCTCTTATGTAAAAATGAGTATATCGATATTAGTCGCTTTGTAAAATGGGTTATTTATTTATTGACGTGGCTGATACTGAAATTTGGACCTATCTTGATATGGATTTTTTTGAGGGTTAGATTTGATAATCAAAGAATATATTGGATTTTAGCAGGGCTTATATTTTTAAATCGCGACCCCAAATTTCAGTATCAACTGCACATTTATTTATCGTATTTTACAATTTTTTACATTCTGCAAGATGCTTTATTAACAATACGGTTATGTATAATTTTTCATAAATCTTTTTTCGCTTGAATTCAAAAATATAAAAAATAGTATTGGCAGGTGATCATCACCGATTATTATAGAAAAAAGCAAAAAGATCAAAAAAAGTGCAATATTTTTTTTGAAAAATTAAAAAAATAAATTTTATATTAGTCATTCTGTTTATTCATAAAAACTTGGTTGTACTCACAACGAACCAAATTAAAAATATAAATCAGAGAAGGAATTATGTAATAATCAACCTTTGCAAATGAAATCAGAAAATTTCTCCGATAGTCTATCCATAATTTTTTATAATATTTAGTATATAATCTAACTCTTCTAATTCTATTGCCCTTAAATAAATACCCGAGATGGATCAAAAATAATGACATTTTCTACAATAAGGTTGGAAACTTCTGCCTCACAAATAATCTCATTTTGTTTATGATTATGCTTGAGTTTCTTATTCCTTTACCTTTATTCCGTGATCTTTTGAGATTGTAATTTAATACAAGGCTCCAAGGTTTCTTCATTAAGGTTAAATTTTGATACAAGGCTTCAAGGTTTCATATGTTTAGTGAATTCTTCACCAAACATATTTTTTAACTTTTTGCCTTTCCCCAATATAAGAATTAATGAGTTTAAATCATTTTTCTTATTTTTCTTCTTAAAAATTTCATCAAACTCTTTTCTTAAATTTGAAATTTTTCGAATTTACGCCTACCGATTTTATATAACTTCAAGTTTTCAAGTTTCGTTTCTCCTTCAATAGATGCAAATGTTTTAAATCTTGGTTTGTTTTACGTGCCTCGTTTAGTGGTGCCATAGATACGAGATTATTCTTGTATAAATAGAGCTTTAATTTCCTAAGTGCTTTTTTTAATTAAATTCATGATCTTGTGTTTGCATATCTTCTAAAGTTATCCATAATTAAATTATATGCTGGTATAGGCCATTTCAACAGTATAAAGTTCGTCTTATACAATAGTTTAGGCTGAATGATAATTATCGTTACCCAAAGGTTTCTTCATTTATAAGTAACTAATTTCTTTCTTGAATTTTGCAACTTGTTCGTTTAATTCTTGCAAAATGTCGCAATTCGCAATCGACATTGTAAAGAAATGATAACTAATTATATTATATAAATAATCACGAACACATAATC